TATTACAATATATTTTAATTTAATATTATAATATTATTTTGTGGCATTTTTTTTGTTATTTTAATTAAATTCATTACACACAAATATAAAATAATATATTATTTTTTGATATTTTAATTTAATTTATTTTAATTTTATTTTATATTATTTTGTTTTGTTTTATTTGTTTTTATTTTCTTTTTTGATTCAAACTTATCTATTTTTTTTGTTATTTATTTTAGCTTGTTCCATTTTTTTTTTCCTTTTACTTTGCTTTATTTCATTCGTATTTTTTTATTTATTATAAAGTCAATGTTTTTGTAATTATTTTTAATGTTTTTTATTTATTTTATTTTTTTGTTTTATTATTATTATTTTATTTTGTTTTATTAATTTTATTTTATTTATTTAATTCAAACTATTTTTTGTTTTTTTAGCTTGTTTCATTTCCCTCAATTTATTTTGCTTTATTTCATTTGAACTATATTATCGGACTTTTTGTAATTTTATATTTTTTTATAATTATTTTATATTTTTTTTTATTTATTTTGGTTTAGTTTAATGATTTATGCATTTTTTTGATAATATTTATTTTAATTTTCGTATTGCGTGCTGTGTTTTAGTATTTTTAGTGATTTTTAAATTGTTTAAAGTTTTTGTTGTATTTTTTTCTTGTAATCGTAAAACCAAGTTTTTTTCTCTTCTCTTTATTAATTTGTTTTTTTTTTCTGTCTTTCTTTTTGATGTTTTGCGGTATTTTAGTGTTCAAGTTTGTTTTATCGCTGATTGAGTACAAGATTTATTTGCTGCTTGATATTTTTGGATTATTCACCGATTCCGCCTCGTCCTCTTCTCGCCTTACTGCGTTACTTTTATGCCTTATTCTCTATCACCTTTTAGCAACGCGGCACTGTATTGTTCTTATGTTTGTGCTTGTTGTTGATGTGAGTGTTGTTGTTGTTGCTGTCGTCTCAGCTACGGTGCTTTGTGTATTTTATTGTCCCGCTGTTGGTCTGATTGTAGTTTGCTGCCTTGTTTGCCTCATTGTCGTTGCTGTTGTTGTTGTTGTCGTGGCTAACCCGTTTTCACACAGACATATACACACACAGATGCACACATGCATACAGCTACAGCCACAAAGCGACCTGTGGCGGCAAAGCAAACGCTGCTCGTATCTCAAAGATACCCAAGAAGCAGGCAGGCAAAGTCAGCTTGGTGGCTGTATGGAGCTCCAGCGCGCAAAGCGAACAGTCAAAGTGCCAGAGTAAAGTCAGCATCAGCAGTCAAGCCGTGTTGTTTGGAGCTGTTATGCTCCTGCCACTCCAATATCGAGAGTTTGTGTTTGAGTGTGTGTGCTTAAATCCCAAAGTGTCTTTATAAATGTGTGTGTGCGTATGCATGTGCCTTCTAGTAGTGTGATGCGCTTATGCTGTTTTCTTAATGTTTATTTTTGTTTACCCATGTGTTTACATACATACGCGCATACATATATCCATACAGCAGAGGAGCTACAATTCATCTACCTTCATACTCAAATGCTAGCTCTACCTTACTTTACCTTACCTTACTTGCACCAGCTCACAAATCAATGTTTTTGTTGTTGTTGTTATTATTTGTATAGTTGTTTATATGGTGGAAAAACTAGTTTTTCGAAAAACATTAGCAACATGCTGAAGCATAACAAAAGTCAGCAGCAGCACAACAAACAAAGACAACAATATTGTTGGTGTTAAGAACAATAATGCAGCTGGAAAACATGTCTTAGCAAAAGCAATAACAAATGAAAAACAAAAATAACAACAATAAGTAAAAGCAACTAAAGCGCAGGAGCAGCATAATCATCTCATCGCGATGCGAAAACTGTTCAAAGTTCAAGTGAATTTTTGTTTGATTTTTTGGGTTTTGAGGCAAAAAAAAAAAAATAAATAATAAATAAAATATTATGAATATGGTTAAGCATAAGTAAATGAATTAAAATAGATAGCAGACTTAATTTTTCGTAAATTGAAACAAAAAAAAAAATATTAAAATTCATTATTCATCACGGCATCCCTAAAACAGCTCATAAAAAAGCGTCAAATTTGAGTTCGAAATTTTAATTAGATCGAATACTTTGAAAAATAATTCATATCAAAAAAGTAATAATTCATATTTCGTATTCGAAAGTGATTAATTTTATCTACATTTCAATTAAAGAAACATTTCGATATCCATTTTTCCTGCGAAAAGCAATTGGACTTACTCAGTAGTCTGAGACTTTCTTCTTCGACGAAGTTTTGCCAATTAGTTAAGTGGGCTTAGTTTATTGCCTAACTCGACTTGGGTACACTGAAGTATCTCAGAGCTGTAGTCCATTTTAAATTTATTTCTAAAAAGCATTTACAACGTTTGATCTGAAATTAGTTCTGAAGAAACCGGTTTACAGATTTCAGGTAAAGAGCTTACGCTTAAAGGCTTCTGATTCTCTCAAGTCATATACTCGTAAGACTGTTTTCTGCTAAAACACTATTGAATATTTAGCATAGTTTCACTTGTCGAATTCACTCTTTTACTGTTATACAATCAGAGCTCGTCAGGTTAATCTAAGAGACAGTTTGAGAAGTTTCACTTAACACCCAGATCCAAAAACTAGGCAACTAGGCATTGTGCAGTGTTGCTATAAGGACAAGCTATCGAAGCAAGGGACTCAGGCGGAGCCATGATCTTGAACTGTGAGCTCAACAACGATTTTTAGGTAAATTATTTTCGAAGAATCAGGTTTATTTATTGTTTTTTTCTTACTGTCAGTCGCATTAAAGAGCGCTCCAAATTGGTGTTATCATATCATAAAGTTTTCTTAGTGAAACCCGACAGTTCTTCGGTTAAGAATATTAAAAGAAGGCTGTTCCAGATACTAGTCATTTGGCTGGGATGTAGATTTGATAGCCATGAGTATAACCTATCATACTAATACTCAGAAATGTGCCAGAACTAAGAGCATTTCGAAGGGCAGGTCTCAACTACAGCAGAAATTTTGGCTCATAGGGTAAGCTGCTTATATGTAGTTGTACCTGGCAAACGAAATATAGTAGGAGAACTTGAATCCATTATAGAGATAAACTGTAGGGGGCTTTAAATCGAAGTTGCAGTTGGCTAATGTGATTTTGCACGTCGTTTGCACTTCTTTTTCGCGTCGCTTACGCTATTTTAGTCAAATTAATATTAGCGAGCCATTTAACTCCTCTTTTCGCTATTTGGCGTCAATTGGAAATATCAAGAGAAACCAGGTCGCTCTACTTCTGATCCTTCCAACGGAGTAGAGGTCTTACTTTTCCTTTGCTTCCAACAGCGGGCAGTGCATCGAATACTCACAAAGCTGGAGTGCTTTCAGCCATACGGACGACATGACCTAGTCAGCAAAGCCGCTCGTTCACAAAACTTTTATCTCGAAGACTGCCAGGGCCGACTCATCAGATATCGAGATCGTCCTCGCTTCTGCGTTATATAGTAGGACGAGTATGATGAACGACTTGCAGAGTTTCGTTTTCGTTTGCCGGTAGAGTTCATGTTAATTGGAATAACTTCCTTGAAATGTCTCAGGGTAACTCTGGGGACTTTCAGCATAAGCTCAATTCGAAGGTGATTGACTTCAAACGGGTAGTTTTGATACGAAATTTTTTGCTTTTTTAGTCTCGTTCTTATCTTTTGTCCTGAAAATGCCTGAGTCTAAATTTAAGTCTCGATACAATTTCTGTCGATTCTGTTTTCTCCTTTCCCGAAGCCTGTTGTATGCCTTCTTCTTCGCCAGATTCTTGGGCATGTAGATGAGTGCTGGAAAGAGTAATTGAATAATGAATATTGAGTGGCTCTCATAGAAGCTGATGTTTGAGCTTTTAATTTACGCTAAGAATATTTTGTACTTTTTCTATTTCTTAATGCAGTTTGAAAAACAAGAACACCCGAAACAGTCAGATGAAAGTTAAATTTGCCTAAAAGTTGCAAATTATTTTTTATTTTACTTTGCTCTTATTATTATTGTTGTTATTTTCTACATTTCTCTTTGGCAAAATGCTGCTGTGTGATGTAAAATACAATATTTTGCAAATTCGCAAAATGGCATATGTACCAACAAGCCAACAACAAAACCAGCTCTCATTGCCCATATGCAAAGCTCCAGACGCCGCTGACTTGGCCAATAAATGTGCCATAAAATTTCGAAATTCACAACAACACTAGAAAAGTTCAAATAAATGACATGGTGGAAACAACAACGGCAGCAACAGTGAATGTGCGCACATAGAGAAGTAAAGTGTGAAAGAGAATTGGATGAAATGAAATTGAATGAAACGAAATTAAAATTGAAGTGACGAAACTTGCCTCGAGGTAAAATTCAAAGAAAAAATGCAAATCAGCAAGAAAAGAAATGTGAAAGTATTCAAAATTTATAAACAACTACTTTTTTTGTGTGCTGCCGTGTGTATAGGCCAATTTATATAAATACAATAACAACATGCTCCAAATATTAAATAATGTTTTTTTAGCATTTTATTTGTTTATTTATTTTTGCAAACAATTTTGTATTTTTTTTCTTTGTGAATTTTAAAATTTTCGGGCAGTGGTTTTGGAAATGATTGATGCTCGTCTTCTGATGTTTATTTTGGACCGGGGAAAAAATAGAATAAGTCTCACGCAAACATATAAAATATATTAAAAAATTTAATTAGTTTTTTTAAAGATAAAATAAAATAAAATAAAATAAAATAAAATAAAATAAAATGAAATAAAATGAAATAAAATAAAATAAAATAAATTTAAATATAATAAATTAAGAAAATGATGTTCAACATTTTTCTATTTTTAGTTAATATTATCTAGAAAACGAGATATGTATGTATATGGACTAAATATATTAAAAAAAAATAAAAATAATATAAACATGTGAAGATTTATAAGCAAAATAATTGCATACAAAATTCAACTTGGAAAATTGAGAATTAAAATACTTATTTCATAATAAATTGTGCAAAAAACAACAGAAGAAAAATTCTGAAAAAATTGTGAATCAGTTTCATTTAACAAAAATCAAGAATTCATTTTATAAAATTCTAAAACTATGGGTTTCTCGTCGGCCCTACAGGGCCGTGCCGCGCACGAGGCATTAATCGTACGTCAAGATGCCGAACTACGTCTCATGGAGACCATGAAACGATCCATACAATTGAAAGCCAAATGCGATCGGGAATATGCAATCGGTTTGGCTGCGGTTGCACAACAGGGTTTGAAAACTGATCGCGCTGATGAAATGCAAGGTGAGTACAAAAAAAGGGGAGAAAATCAAAATATGAATTTACTATAAATGATGAAAAAATAATTATTATATTTTTTTATTTTATTTTATTTTTTTTCGCTGATGTTAGTAAAACCGCAAGGGAACTTTATAGTAATCGATATAATAAATACATACATACACAATTTTATGAAGGTATATACGCTAATTTCTTAATTATATAATACATATATGTGTGGTAAGGAGAGTATATAAATATTTACGGTATTGTACAAGAGCAAGGAATTCTGTCTGAAACAATTTTAAGACTGAAATCACAGTTGATCACGGAAGATGGGTCGGAAAAATAAATAACGGAGAAAAGCGACGCCAAAGATCTCCCTTGTTTTTGCGGTTCAAGAAATCGCCGTTGGTTAAGAATATGCCGAGGCTTCAAATAAGCATCTTAGGGACATAATTTGATAAATAAATATGGCTCTAATAGGAACTCCTTGGGTGAATATCAAATATCCTCCTATTTAAACTCTGCGAAAGGTTATTGTTATTGTTGTAAAGGTTAGACTACTTCGTTTCGTCACAGTTGTCATCTAAGTGGAGTCCCAACAAACGAGTCTGACATAATGTACTCACACACAATATCCACATCAAAATCATCCCACCGGCTAAAATCGTACTGGGCGGCTCGTGTTCTACAAACTGCATGGGTAGTGATTGTATTCCAATAATGCTATAGTAAATGGCATTGACAGATACTGAATATTTCCTCAGTAAGTGGCTTTGAAAGCCTGATGGTAACACGTCGCATCTAGAGGATCTGTAAGGTATTACTTGTTGTTGTTGTTGTAGCCGCGAAAATATTCCCCAAAGTACTTTTTGAGGAATGTTTCGGAAGTAACAGTCCTTGGCTGGATAAAAATTCGGGTCCTTCCGGTATAAAGACCCGACTTCGCGGGATCAATTGGATTTAAGCCGCCTCTTACGACAGGCATGCCTTACCGCGGGCAAATTCTTGAACCCCTAACCCGCAGAGGTTTGTAAAATATTGCTGAATGAAGGCGCTTTTCTGACAGCACTGTCACTTCTTCTCCATCAGGCTGATAACCAAATAAGTTGCGAGCAACTTTTGTCTTCCCCCTGGTGAAGTGCAGACTGTCTCTGACTGAATGTGCCTTCCAGTAACTTATCGGCTATTAGCAATGAGGTTTTTGACATATTCAGTTCTTTCGTCCAACTAGTGAAACCGCTTAAGCCAACAGCTCAGATGATATTCATCAGTCAACGCCACTCCGGTATGGTAATTAGTTTATATAAGGATCGTCGTAATCTTCTTTAATTTTTATTTTAATGACTTGATCTGATCAAGTAAGACCCCTTAAATTTCCCTTTCCCTCTCTCTATCTGGTTCTCTTCAACTTATAAACTCCAAGTACTCACCTACGAACTTGATATCCACAGCTACATGTGAACTTCATCTGAATTATCTTTGCCACTGGAACGTACCCGGTTACGATATTCCTCTTTCACTATCAAGCTCAAAATATCTCCGAGTGCTAGTCGTTATACGAGTATATGGAAATGAATAAGAAGAAGTGTCCCACTGGGACATTATCTAACCTTATTGACGAGCGTTGCACACTTCAACCGGTTTCCAATGAAATGACATTAAATAATCTGTGTCAGCTGATTTACTGTTGTATGAAGAAAATCGAGGCAGACGTTCTAGTAGATCAAGACCGAAAAAAGTACTTCAAAATTTCTCGATTGATGACAAAGCATTCGTTCTCTACTTCTTTTGATTATCATGGTGTTGTGTCAAAATTTCTATTCACACGGTCGTACAGTTAAAAAAATATTATTTTGTGGTTATGTATCGCTTGGAAAAACAATAAGCATCATTCGGCCGCAATAGCCGAGTGGTTAACATTGCATAATGAAGGTCAGCGCTTTTGTCCTGGTTCGACCAACATTCAGAAAAGTGGAAAATTAATTTTTATAACTGCGGTCGTCGCTCGGCGAGGAATGTCAAGCCCTTCGCGTGTATTTTTGATATGAAATAGAAGCTACTCATAAAAATCATTTGGCTGTCAGGGGTCGGCTTGAAATAAACTGGAGGCACCTCTATTTAGTGGAAAATCATCGAGGCCTACATCATAAATTTGAGGAGCTGCTGGGCTGAAAATCACTTCAGCTTCACCAGATACCTAAGCATCGTTTGTGTTTTTTTTTTTTTTTTTTTTTTTGTCTAACACTATCCCATAATCATATCTATGTCCGGTACTATAATTAGGTTTAAAGAGGGCCACGAAAGAGTGACGTTTTACGATCGTGGAGGTGATAATGTAAATGCTACCGAAATGGCTTAAGAACATACAAAATCTTTTATGTTAGAAATGCTTCCAGGATACAAAAAAAAGGTGGCACCGGTATTCTATATCTAGGAAAGAGAGCAAAACAGAAATTGATGAAGGAAAAACATTTTTCGAGAAAACTTTAAATTTCCGGTTCTTCATGTTTAGTATGTGTTAGAGACCTAGATATCCGGGCAGCTCGATACTGCTCAAATGATAGTTTGAAATTTTTCAAATTTCAAATTTGTTTGTCAAAATTTCTTTAATATTTCAATGAATCTTACACTTTGCATAAATAAAATTAAAATCATTAAAAGTTCGAGGAAAAGGTCAAATTTTTTATTCAAAATGCTCGAAAAAGCTCGAACTGCTCGAGCTAGAAAACTTTCGAACAAAAACCTCTAGTATGTATGTCTCTAAAAATTAAATAATTATATGCACAGCGTTTGTTTTTTTTTTGGTTGCCTTATCAAATGCTTGAATGACAACAACAAAAGTTGGAAACTTTCAGATAAAACAGAAACTAACTTTAAAATGCAGCGACGATACAAGTACACATGTAAACATACACACATTTCTTATATGAAAAATACATATAAGCACAAAGAAAAACTGTAAAAAATATAAACAAACCAACTGATGAATAAATATATGTATGTAAGAATGAGTTGCATTACCACACAGTGTAATAACTGCTTATCAGGCAAGTGCTTTTTGCAAGCGAAACTTTTTACTTGCGTCACTTGAAAAAGCAAAATGAAAAAAATTCAAATTTAATTTTTCAAACTCTTTTTTATGCTTTTGAAATAAATTAAAACAACAAAGCAGCAACAAAAACGAGATAAAAATGTCACTGAGCCTTAGTCGGGGCGTGAAGTCGTCCAATCGTTAGGGGAACTACAAAGCGTTCTTTCTTTATCTGGAATTAGTTTTACTGTAAAATGGTTATGAAAACATATTAAACATGACAGCATAGATGAGTGTGTGACGCTTCGCACATTAAATTAGTTGATATAAGCTTTGCAAAATACATATTATTGTATATGTATGTATGTATGTATGTAAGAGGGGATTAACAAAAGTTCGGTAAGTTGACCAGAAAATAAAAACAAACAAAATTTCTTTCTGTATATATTCGTAATATTTGTGATTTTTTACCTTCTCTACATAATCGCCATCATTGATTTCAATGCATTCCTTAAGCCAATAGATCCACTTCTTCTGCTTTTTAAGCTCAGCATGAACCGCATTATTTATCTCCCCGTTGCTATTAAAGAACTTTCCCTTTACATTCTTTTTTTAATTTTTGCAAATAAGCAGAAATCACAAGATGCTGCATCCTCTGACAATGGTACTGGATCCCAGAGATCGCAATAAAATTACTTGATCTTTCAGCTGTCTGGGATGGCGCGTTGTCATGATGTAAAAAGTAACGCCGCAAAACCTCTTTCTTTCTGTTTTCCAACAAAGTTTTTAGAACTTTTGGTAAGCACTCGTCGGTGCACCATTTTTCAGTTACCGTCCCGACCCTTTTCCAGTGGAATATTAGCTACGGTTTTAGAGCGGGGAAACTGACATCATTATTTTTGCTGCTGATTTTTATTGCTTAGATTTTACGGCTGGGTTTTCTCCGATTGGGCTCCATACCATGGACTGCTTTGCGGTTACTGAATCCTACTTATAGAACCAAGATGCGTCACCTGCAACGACTTTACTAAAGTTGCTATTCAAACCATTTTCGAGTTTTCAAATACAAATTCGGCAAAATTCACTCGAACCTCTTTTTGGGCCTCATTTAAAATTCGTGGTGAATGATTATTTAATATTCGCGATCAGCACAATTCATTAGCAAACATTTCTTGGGTAAATCATGGGTCTTCGTCATTTTTGGACTTCAGCATAGCTACAGTGACGTCATTAGTTGAAGATTTTGGTCGAACTTCCTGTGGCTCGTCCTTTACGAAAAAATGTCCGGTCTGGAATTTTCCGAGCCACTTAAAAATAGTCTTTGATCACGGTGCAATCGTTCCATATGAAATTTGGCTTTTACTGAATATTTGTATTGACTGTAAATTACGCCGAAACCCGCAAGGAGTTACATGGCAAATTTCTGTTTGCGTTAGTTTTTGAATTTCGTCTGACCTATTGCTAAGCTATCTTGCGTTTTCTCATCGCCATTTTAGCCAATCGTTTTAAAATTTGAAAAGAAGACTAATAAAGACTAATAATTTCACAGCATTTTTTATTTTTAAAATTAACAAAAACCAAATTGACCGAACTTTTGTTAATCCCCTCATATATTTCCACTAAAATTCTTTTTAATTGACTACTCATATGGAGTTTGGAATCATTTTCAGTGAAAAAAATTTGCATAAAAGCGGCTACTTGGGCGAGTGATTTATAAAAACAAAGCAAAGATCGAAAAAAAAACAAAAAGATTGAGTGTGGGCGAAGCGTGTATAAAGACGTCATTGCGAATTTCTATATAAATGAATGTTAATGATATGTATTGAATAGGATTATTCATTTTGCGTTTTGAAAAAATAAAATATATTTAAAATAATTTTTTTCTATGAAATTCTTCGCCAAATTTTTGCTATTTTCGATCCGTTTCAGCTAAATTTCGATCATATTTGGCACATACTGGGCGGTATATCAATCATAACTGGACGAA